CACATCTGCTATTTTGTTTGACAAGTACACTGATGAGAACTTGGTTCACAACCATTGTAGCCTATGGGAATTAGAGGAAAGATTGACCTTCATGAGAAATGTTTGGAACATATGGCATTTCCTATCAAGACTTGATAAGCAAAGGCACAACTCAGCTGTGGAAAAAATACGTTTGCAATGGTATGTTGCTAACCACCGCATTTGGAATAATTTTATTCCAAAACCCAACTCGTTGAATGATGTATATAGCTATTGTCATTACGGTAATACTCTTGAGGAACTTGTTCGCTTTGTAAGAAATGTGGTCATCCATATTGAAAATTATTCAAAGAATGTAAGTTGCTAATTATTTTTTAATTTATTTAATATTGTTTAAAACAATTATTATAATTGTTTGTCAATAATACTTAATATGTTTTTTTGAATAGGGCAAGCTAATCAACCATACAAAAGTTGATGGATTGATATCAACTACCTTTCCTATGTTGATGGTGGAACTATAAAAGTGTCTGTATTTTGAAGGATTTGCACATGAAGATTTCATGAGAAGTTAAATTGACTTTTTGTAGCTATTCATGTAGGAATGTATGCCTATGATTGTAATGAACTTCTTTTATGAATGATCAGTGTTAATAATCAATTGCAAGAATTCAATATTTTACATTCACTTATTGGTAAATTGATTTTAACTACATTTCCTATGTTGGTGGTGGAACTACAAGAAGTGTCTGTATGTTGAAGGATTTGCACAAGAAGATTTCATGAGAAGTTAAATTGATTTTCTGTATCTCTTCATGTAGGAATGTATCCTCACGATTGTAATCAACTTCTTTTAATAAATGGATGTGAATGATCAGTGTTAATCATCAATTGCAAGAATTCAACATTTTACATTCACTTACTGGTAGTGACATCAAATTATTCTTATGCCCAATCTTCATCTTTTTTGTTCATAGGACCGTAAAATGATATACACTATTGAAAGAAAAATGGGCATCCACCAATTCTTGACTTAAACATGATGGGTATTATTCAATAGTCTTGTAATATCAAAATTTTACAGTTAAAAATATATTTTTTCTATCTATCTTAGTTATCTTATCTAATTGAAAAACAGAAGATAATTGGATATTGAACCCGGCACTTTGATGATAAAACAACTTGTGTTGGGTGAGTTAGATACACATCATCAGCTTAGCACATAGCTCAGATAGGATCACCAATGTTTAGTTATATCTTTAGTCATATCTATTGAGAAGCAAATTCATATACAAATGCCTTTGCAAACTTGGAATAAATTTGAGTTGAGCTCAAATTTGGAATCTAGAATAAAAAAAAAAAAAAAACTAACAAACAAAAGATGAGTTGTGTTTTTGTTCTTTTATTTATTGAGTGAATCGCATAATCACATTAGTTATATTACACGATATATTGCAATTATCTAATAATTTTTTAGTCATGATAGCTATTATCATTCGGGACCATTTAGACAATGCGTTCTATATTCAGGACAATGAAAAATTCTATCTCGATTTTTGTAACGACGCTACTCACTGTTAGACAAACAAATAAAATGGACACAAACATTTCACTTTTTACTTAAAAAATACAACTTAAAGATATGTACGTGTACATAAAAATATTAAAAAAATTATTGTAGTCATAGATTTAACTCGTATACTGTGTGACCTACATTTAAAATGAATTGAATCGAGCTACACAATGATTTTATTGGTATATTGATATACATGAGTTATATACCTAAATAATGGGAACCATGTGTTACCTTCCACACTTGGCACACCAAGTTCAACCACCTTATCCAACACATGCAATTGTGACAAATAATATAAAAAACCAACCACTCAAATACCTCTATGCTCATAGACCTAAAGCAATAATTGTTAATTAAGGAAAAACGAGTACAAAAGTAGAAGGGAAAAAAGGAAACTTACTCCTCCACCACCTTCTCTCAACGTGATGAAGTGTAAAAATGAGGTGGATAGAATGGTAAGGGGTGGGTAATGGTGGTTGTGAAAGATGGAAATGAGAGTGATGGTGGCAGTAGTTGGGTTGTTGATCTTGAGAAAGATGAGAAAAGAGTGTAATAGAGTTAGAGCAATATTGTAATATCAACGTTTTAGTTTTGGGTATTTTGGTCATTGTATATTTTTTGTTTATTTGTTGGACGCTCCACTCTTTATTCTTATTTTTTTTTTTAAATACAATTCTATCTTAATTACCAAAAAACCTAATTCAAAATCGTTACCCCCACTCAACCCAGTTTCGGTGCCGCCGCCACAGTAATCACCGACAGCACCACAACTCGCCCTCTTCACCATTCTCCAGCTCCCATCACCACTTCCCTCCCACCTCCCGTCGCCAACCCCAGCCCCTTTCCAATTCATCGTCAACCCCCAAACCCTTTTTTTCACAACCTGCAAGCCACCACTTCCTCCCCATCTCCGCCACCTCTTCCCCATCTTCTCTGCCATAGCGATCCATTCCTCCTCCTCCCTGCCCTCTTCTTCTTCTTCCACCGCTCACTGCTTTTTCTCGCCGTCTCCTCCCGCCACAATGACCTCCTCATCTTCTTCTTCATCTTCTTCGCTATGATCTCTCTCTCCGTCGCAAAACCCTAATCCAGCCGCCATCCCCAACTCAACTCCTCTCTCCATCATGAACCCCTTTTAACAGCCTCTCATTCACTGCAACCCGCTTCCACTATCTTCTATGTCGAAACCCTAGATCTAAGGTCTTTGGTCTTTAAATCTAGGGTTTAGAAAGAAAGAGAAGAAAATGAGAAGAGGCGACTATGGACGGTGGGATGAGAAGGAAAAGGACAAGAGAAGGGGACGCCGGTGGCAGTGGCAGAAGAGTGGGGTAGGGAAGTGGTGATTGGTTGTTGGAATAAATGAGGGTAAGATTGGGATAATTTGGGTGTTCAACAAAATTTCCAAAACTTTGAATTTTTTCTTTGGGTGTCTTAAGTAATGGGGTGCCTAACCAAACTTTTGGGGTGCATTTAGAACCACCCTTCAGTTAAAAAACAAATATTGATTGGAAGGTCAGTGTAATTTTTAAAACGTTGACGGGAAATCTATAATAAAAGCAAACTTTAGGGGAGTGTCATAATTTACCCAAAAGAAAAAAAAAGTGAATTGTATACGCATACGAACAACTCGGTTCTCAACCCTAGGTTTTTGATCTGCTGTCTATTGCATTTGGGTCAACGAAAAAAGGCATGCTCCTTCCTTCTTGCAAGCAGCCATGTCATTTTTCTTTCCTCTTTTTTTTTTCCTCTCCTGTTTGTTCATTTTGTCGTGTACGCACCCACAAATACACTCGCATATAGGCATGTGTAGGGGGGTGTACGGGTCGAGTCAGCTTGGTTTTATCATAGAACTGTCACTTGAACCGGCCTGCTTTGGGTAGAGAAAATGTTCATCCGATTTTGCTCGAGGTAATGATCGAAACCGTGTACATCGGGTGTCCGGTTTGGCGGGCGATTTTTGGTCGAGTGATTTTCATTCCCCATTTCAATTTTTATGGCTTCTATTCATCTCGCCTACAAAATGAATACCCAAACAAATATACACAAAACAAAATTAGACATACTATACAAATCTACCTCTCTTACATACACACTAGATATGATAGAAAACAGTGGACAAAATTGAAAATAGGGAGGAGAAACTTACCTTTCTACCAGGGCACAATGTCACCATCATCCTTACCCGCATTGCATCTCTTCAATCGACACTCTTTTGTGAGAAAAGTTTCAAATTCGGTAGATAATGATCGAAACCGTGTACATCGGGTGTCCGGTTTGGCGGGCGATTTTCGGTCGAGTGATTTTCATTCCCCATTTCAATTTTTATGGCTTCTATTCATCTTGCCTACAAAATGAATACCAAACAAATATACACAAAACAAAATTAGACATACTATACAAATCTACCTCTCTTACATACACACTAGATATGATAGAAAACAGTGGACAAAATTGAAAATAGAGAAGAGAAACTTACCTTTCTACCAGGGCACAATGTCACCATCATCCTTACCCGCATTGCATCTCTTCAATCGACACTCTTTTGTGAGAAAAGTTTCAAATTCGGTAGATTTATAAGCTGAAGATTAGGATTTTAGTGTTCAATCAGGTAAATCGAGAGAGAAAGAGAGATGGGATCAGTCGGTGTGAGAGAGAGAGAGAGAGAGAGATACATAAATAGAGAAGATTTTAATGTTTTGAGAGAGACAGAGGTAATGGAGAACTGGAGAGAGTGGGTGAGAGAATTGAGGAGAGGAGACAAAGAGTTTGGTGAAAATATTTATGTTTTGAGAGGAGAAGTGCAATTTATCTTGAAAATATTTTTTTAATAAAAAAATATTTATATTTTGAATAGTGGGGCTGAGTTAAGATAAAGGTAATACCTTTATCAATGCTCTGACATAATAATAATGAATGTGTATTATATATATTTGTATATAATTCGGTCGGTTAGTATAATATATATATATTTTTTTTGTTTAAACTCGATCACCGATCGAAAATAGATGAAAATTTTCAAAACAGAACCGCAGCCGACCGTTAAAGTGGTCAAAACCGTCCGTAGCACTAGTGGGTTGGGTGGGTCTGGGCGGATTCGTAAGTAATTCGGATTTTTGCACACCCCTAGGCATGTGTATATGTATATATCTAAAAATCGAATATCCGTTTTCTCCGGTGCCTATTTCTTGATGTCGACGAAGAGGACTGTTTCGGGTGTCCAGCCGGACTTGACATCAAAGAAATCAAGGATTGAAGAGGATTCTATATACTTTCTTTACTTTCATGAGGAGGGTCCTGTTGGATATGCCATGTATAAGATTGATGTTGGTGCTTTTTCTATTGACGAAAATGCGAGTAACAATGCTGTAGCGATCAGTCCTGTATATATCTTCTGCGTTTCTGCTATATGTTCCTTCAATTTTTGGTCTTTGTGGTGTGTAGGCAGGCTTGGCTCTTTTTATGGGGCTGCGTACGTTGGCAGGATATATCAGGTAAACTGTAGGATATTATGACATGTCTGTTGTCTCTTAAAAATTTTCATTAGCAATTCGTGTTTTCTTGTCTATGACGTGATTATTCTATTTTTACCACAAACCTCCATCTCAGTTTAATATGACAGATAGGGCATTGGTTACGTTGTTTAGAGTTGGTTTTCCGATAAATGATTTCATGAACATATTTGTGGTTTAAAGGCATGCTCAAATTTTTGTTACTGCTTTCTAGTGCAATTTTGATGACAATGTTATTGAAGAACTGTGCTGCCTCTTTCTTGCATTTTTCACTAGGATAGCATATTTATTGGTCCTCTCTTTCTTTCGCTTTCTTTTTCTACTTTTTTTTGATAGATATTAATTGTTATTCCACTTGCATGTTCAGAACATCATCCAAAAATGGTCCATGGTGGTTTCTACATCAGGACTTGAAGGGATCTGCGGTTGGTAGTTTTTTGTTCATTGCTTTCTCTATATTATATTAGTTGAAACAATCTGCCTTTTTATTGATGCTTTTCCTACTATTTTTACCTGTTTGTCTTGTTTTTGCCATTGTCACTGATTTACTAATTTTTACCTATCTTGCATCAATGCTTGAGATGGGTGTAATTATCCATTCTTTAAGTATGACTTGTAATCCTGGTTCCTATCTAAAATGGTGAGTAATGCTATTTGATGATTTAGTCCAGTGGGCTGATGCCAACTTTTTGGTTTTCAAATGTTACCTATTTGATGATTTAGTCCAGTGGGCTGATGCCAACTTTTTGGTTTTCAAATGTTACAGTAATGAGGGCACTTCTACCAGAGCCTTGGACACTTTTTACCAGAACACTTTTACCACTTTTTGGTCTTGTTGTTGGAAGTGTTTTTTTTTTTTTTGATATGTCTAAGAAAATTGTTGGAGGTGTTTTAAAAACAATAGTTCAATCTCTTCAATCTTTTTAGTTTTTTTTAATCTTATTGAGGTGGTGGTAATTTTCATTTTATGGTTAAACCTTTTAATTGTTGGATTTAAAAAGGCCTTTTTATCTTATTGAGGTAGCGGTAATTTTCATTTTATAGCTAAGCATTTTAATTGTTGGATTTAAAAAGGCCTTCTAATCAGTTTCATTATTAGGCACTATCTAATAAATTGTAATATAAAAATTTATTACACAAATTGTTCGATCTCTTCTCGTCACCAAAATAAATTGTTCAATTTCATGTAATTGTTTATTTTTTTGTGAATCCTTGGCACTCGATTAGAGTCATATATTTTGACTTTGACTTTTATTTTTGTTTTTTCCTTCAATTAAGTGTGTGAATGTGGCAATTGTCCATGATATTGCAAAGGGTAACGGCTTTGTATTTAGATTTTTGTATTGAGTTTCTCATTATGCATTCTTTTGATGTGATGAGTATATTGAAGAAAAACAATGATAGTGAGAACTTTGAGTACATGTTCTATGTTGTTTTAACATCTAAAAAATTAAAGCGAAACCTCAATTTTAGTAAATTGTTTTAATTGGGCAAAGCTTTTTGTCATGAGCTGCCTATAATGGGATTCCAGATTAGATGTAATTATTTATTTTCATTTTTTTTCGTGTATTATCTAAATTGTTAAATTCTTGTTTCTGAATTGAAAAAAGAAAAGATTAGATGTAATTATTTATTTTCATTTTTTTTCGTGTATTATCTAAATTGTTAAATTCTTGTTTCTGAATTGAAAAAAGAAAAGAAAGAAGAGTTATACTTCCCAATTGCTAACTTGTGAATTCTTATACTTAACAATTCATATTCATATTTTTTTTGTTTTTGTTTTTGTTTTGGACACAATTCATATTCATATTTATTAAGCAGCAATATGTGAACTCATAAGTCATGATATACACAAATCAAGAGACTTGTAAACTAAATTGGAAGGTGCTTGATCATATGTATCAAGAAGGGTTATATTGAAATTTTTTTTATGTTCAATTTTTGTTAATTCATATTTATTGGTTTCTCTGTTTCTCAAAGGTATTTTGATGTGATTTTTCCTGTTATGATTTCTTTTAATTGATTTTTTAAAGTGAATTCAAGTGTTGGAGTGATTTTGTTGCAGACGACTAATTCACATTAGAAATGTTGGGATTGTGTTGTTTTTCTATGTATTGATTGTTGGCTCTTTCATTCTAAACTGGATGATTAATATATATATATATTAATAAAGATAGGATGATTACTCATTTGTATCAAAATGTTTATTCATCATTTCTTGAAACTTTGAAATTTGATAAAGTGAAATAGAAACATTTTTTATTGAAGGTTGTCATTTTGGCGTGAATATCTTTGCTTGTGTTGTGTACAATATTTTTATATTATAAATTTGATATTTAAACTTTAATTATGAAGTTTGCTAACCCGTAATTTGACATTTCGACTTATGTGTTAAGTTTTATATTGCAATTAAATTGTTGTCATTTTGAATTGATTTAAATTGATTTCTGTAACGGTGAAATTGTCATCATTTTGAATTGATTTTTGTGAAGTATTAATACCAACATTATTTACACCGTGCCTTTAGACACAAGTATACACTACTATATATAAATTAAATTAATTGAATTTCAATAATTATTGAATTATATTTATTTAAAAAAATTAAAAATACATTTTCAAAATTATATTTGTCGTATAATTTTTTTTAAACAAAAATATTTTTATACTAATCTCTATCTCTCGTGTCATTACTAGGTAGGGGTGCAACTCGAGCGGGTTCGATTGGGTTGGGAGGTTGTTTAAGCCCAGCCCAAGTTGAGACCTGCCCAAGCCCGTTCCGAGTTAAATCCTAATTGTAACCCGAGATTGTCTGTCTAAGCCCAATCCGAGTTAAACCCGAATTGCCTGAGTTACCCGAATTATAAATGAATTTCAGTTTTTTTTTTTGTAGCTACACTATTAAATTATTAAAATTTGACTATATTTACAATTTTTTTTAATAGAAAATCATTAATATAATCACAACAAACAATTGATATGATGTAATAGATATGTCACTATAGTAGTTCTTACAATTTATGAGTGAAAATAAAAAGAAAAAAGGTAAGATTTTATGTTATTTGTATATATAATATATATTCAATATGATTTAATAATATAAATTCCTTTAATATCATGTAATGATTAATAATTTATATGTATATTTAATATTTTTATATATCTATATATGTATAATTCGGGTTTCGGGTTGCTCAGGTTGTTTGACATCTTTGCCCAAGCCCGTCCAAATTTAATTCGGGCTTTTTGAATTTTTGTCCATTCTCGTACCAAATTTGAAAATATTTTGTCCAATCCTTAAAAAAAATCGGGTTGGGCTTGGGTTGAGCCCGCCCAAGTTGCATCCCTACTACTAGGACCTGAAAGCAAAAGTCTAATATATTTTAATTGTTCTTGAACTAATGGAAAATATTTTCTAGAGAATTGAATAAAAAATCCTAAAAATTTTATACATAATTATGTGATCTATTTATAAAAAAATTAAAAAATCTATCCAATGAGTTATAACTGTAAAAATAGTTTTTCCATATGATTTTGTATGATTGGCTACATAAAAATTATTATGTAATTAACATTTATACATATTTAACATTTCTCGAGAGTTGAATAAAAAAAGCATAGCTTGTCTCCAATCCAAAATTTGGATTGGAGTTTATTGTTCGAGCTTGTGGGGCCCACAATAAGTTTTGTTTAAATGATTCAAATTGTTTATTTTGTTGGGTCTTGTGTGTATATCATCCACACAAAAAAATTAGGTCAATTCAATAATATTAACCTATTTAATTTATCACATTTGTTTTTTAAAAAAATAGATGGTAAGTGTTTTTTTAAAAATAAACTGTCCATTGTATTTATGATAAATGTAATAAATTAAATAGATTATGATTATTAAATCGATTTAATTTTTTTTATGGATAATATACACGAAGGACTAACAAAATGAATAATTTAGGTTATTCAAACTAGGCCTGTGGCCCCGCATAACATGCTCCCGTCTAGATTTGAACTAGAAACAAGCTGCGCTCAAATAAAAAACATAATGATGTGATTATTTATGGAGAATTAAAAAGTCTTATCATTATAATTTATAATTGTCAAAATACATTTTCCATATATATGATTTGATATATAAAAATTATTATGTATTTAACATTTATCTATACATACAAGTACTCCTATATTAGGACAATACCATTGTAAAAATCAAACACACAAAGTCTCTGTTTGGCAAGTTGATTTTCAGGCTTTTTGGCTATTTTAGCTACAAAAAACAAAATAGGTTATTTTAGCCATAACAAACAAAACATCACATCCAACCTATAATCATTACATTCTTCTCTCACAAAAAAAGTCAAAAAGCCCTTCCCAAACCAAGCTTTTTAGCCTAGGCTAAAATAGCCAAAAAAGCCAAAAAGCCAAAAAGTCAACCTACTTCCCAAACCAAGCCAAAGTACTATACTTTATACAGGGCCGGCCCTGGGGTAATGCGAGTAAGACCTGTACCTATGACTCCCAAAATTTGGTCCAAAATAGGGCCTCAAATTTTGAAGATCCATTATATTATTAAGTTTTAAATAAAGTTTAATTATTGTTAGCAGTCCTCAAAAACAAAACAACCCACTAAAATAGAAGCCCTCCAAAATAAAACAGCCCACTATAAAAGGCCCAAATAAAAACATACTGCAGGCCTATATTAAAAATAAATAAAAAAATTAATCCAATTGAAAAAACAAACAAATGGTCCAAATTTACTCAAACAAACTTGAGTGGCCACTAATAAATATATATATTTTTTTAGATGTGTGTACAAGAGGCCCAAATTTATAAGCTCACCTGGGCTCCTGAATTTTCAGGGCCGGCCCTGACTCTATAGTTGAATCAGGAATTATACTTCAAAATAAACCGAGCCGTCAATGCTCCGTTTTCCTCTATGTCAGCAACCGCAACATGTGGACGTGGACCAATAAAAAATAGCTTATTTGGTTTCAGAAGATTATTTTTCAAATTTTCAATTCGGTTTCAGTTTTCGAAGATTATTTTTCAAATTTTCAATTCGGTCTCAGTTTTCGAAGATTATTTTTTAAATTTTTAATTCATATTTTTATATTTTTTGTAAATTTTTAAATATTTTAATTACTTTTTTTTTTCTTTTTAGATGCACTTAACTTAAATACTATTAAAAACTAAAAATTTTGTGAAGAAATATTTTAAAAAATTAATAAATACAATAAAATACGAAAGCATAATAAATTTTCATATATATTTTTTTGAATTTTTTAAAGATTTTTTCACATATTGTACTTATAAATTTTATTTAAAAAAATGATCAAAATATTAAAAAAATTCACTAAAAAAATACGGATTGAAAAATGAAAAAATGGTTTTTGAAAATAGAAATCAAATAGTGTATCAACGACGACATAGTATTATCGTGATATTGAATTTTTACTGTTAAAGCTTGAGTGATGAAGAGGATTCTACAAGCAATGAAGGAGTTAGTAGTGCACAGAGGAGGTGGTAAAGAAGGGGAGGAGGAGGAGCTGCATGGTGGTAGGGGAGAGCAACTGTGTTTGCCTTGTTATGCTCCACTAACTTGTCATTTCCCACATTTCCTGCCCAAGCACCTTGCTCAAAAATAGCATGATCACCCCCAACATTACCTCAAAACATTATCATCATTAGTGAGTTATTAAAATACATCAGTCCCGAAGGAGAAGAACAACTAGAATGAATGTAGCCAGCCTCACAACATATTTCCAACACTATGGAAATTTTAAGTCGCACTCAAGAAAGTTATTGGCGTAGTGAAAAAGAAAGAAAAAGAATATGAATGTTGAATGATGGTGAGTACCCCCTGGCATGACACCAGTGCCTCCAGCAATTCCAGCCGTTGTATTTGCCACAAGATTGCCATAAAGATTAGGAGTAACCTACAAAACATAAGACAGACTTCGTCAACATCCTGTCAATTAGGTGGGTTGAGAAATTAAACATTCAGAATGCATGTTTCGCTTTAATGATTCGAATCGTTCATTTTGTCAGATTATTCATGTATATTATCTATTAAAAAAATTAAATCAATTCGATAATTACAGCCTATTCAATTTACTGCATTTGTCACACCAAAAAAAACAAAAAGAAAAGAAAAAAAAAAGAATAAACTACTTTAAAAAACACACATACCGTCTATTTCTTTGGAGACAAATGTAATAAATTGAACAAGTTTAGGTTATCGAATCGAGTTAATTTTTTTTGTAAATGACATACAGCAGAACTCGACAAAATTAATAATTTGGATTATCAAAATAGGCCCCGTGGTGAACGTGTAGGCCCGAACAGTGTCCTCCAATCTAGACTAGAGAGAAGTCCATTCCAATTGTAAAATCGTTTTGTTACGAACATGAAATATATATGACTAGATAAAATTTAAAGAATTGTATGCATGGATTCCACTTACGAACACAAAAAAAATAAAAATAAATAAATAAAGTCGCACACACAACACAGGAATTTAATGAGCTCAACCATATTACAAAGAAAGATGTTTGAACCTCTGAAGTGGTATGTATTATGCCTACAGAGGTACTAGCAGTATTTTTGAGAAAAACCAACCTCTATCTCTATGTCCAAGAAACTTCAGATCCAGGAAATTATGCTTTTAAAAACGTGCCGTCCTAGAACTTGTATTTTTGTATACAATAATGTTAGGAATTAAAAACTCAAACATAGGGAAATAAAATAAAAAATTGTATATGATGTAAATTTAACTTTGTATTATAGAACTCAAACTTATAATAAATTTAAATAATTTTTTAAATATTTTTTTTATATATGAGTTTTTGATCTCCAATCATTACTATTTGGTGAAAGCAACAGCTCAACTTTTTGTCATTGATTTCATCTGCTGAACTTTTTGGCATGTTAAGGATTTTAATTTTTAGTCATTCATGTCACACATGTGTACACAAGAAACACATGCTTTTTTTTTGGTTTTTTTCAACAATTATTTGTGTTAGAATTTAATTATTTCCGTCAAACTAGTTTTATTTTCGTCAAAAGATGCGGGTAAATTACATTAATCTCTTTTAAGATTTCTAAAAATATGTCGTGTCTCATAAATTTGTTAAATTAGACTTTCTTAAAAAAAAATTATTCACATTACACTTAGCACCTTTTCATTAGTAATTCGTTAATGGTATGGATAGAAAATGACGTTGTCATCTCTTTTACATTAAAAAATATGTTTTATTTTTATCTATTCATGTGTCTACGAACCATCTACATTAATTCTAATAGTTTTAGCCTTACTAAAAGATAAGTATGTGTAATAATGTCAAACTCATGGTGATGGTTATAATTTTTCTAAACCTCAAGTGTGGTCACCGTAATTTACCCAAAAATATTTTCCAATTTTTAAAAATTATTTTTGCTCCAAAAATGAAAAAATTATATGAAAATGATGAGTATTTTTATTTATTTATTTATTTTATTTTTTTTTACCAAACTAGCTTTTAGTTTTTATAATATATATACATATATTCTTTTTGTCAATTACACTGACCTAATATTTGAAGAAAATATAACAAGTTTCTCAATTTTGATGACAAGTTGTCCATATGACTAACAAATTACTGATGAAACGGGAGTAAGTGTTATGTGAATTAAAATCTTAAGTGAACTCGATATAATTATGTCAAATTTATTAAATTTATTATATTTTCTCTAAATCTTAAGGAAAGTGAGTGTAATTTACCTACAAATTTTGAAAACTCAACAAGGTGATTAAAGGATTGTTTGATGCAGCTTATATAAGTTACTTATAGCTTTTGTGTTTTTTATTTTTGAAGTCTGTGTCTGACCGTTTAATATAATTTCTACTTATAGCTTATTAAACATAAATAACTTAAATAAGCTTCTTTTTTTTTTTGTTGTTGATTATTTGGAAGTTTGGGGTGAGTGTTTTTAGTTTCTGCTTTCTGATTATTAGTTTTAAACTTACAATAAACTACACTAAACATATCCTAAGAATTGTTTCTAAACTATAAACTAGGGTAACCTATCACCTACTCTGTACATCTGTGGCCAGCCACTTGAAGGCAATCCTCTTCTTCACCAATTGCAAGAAGTATTTCATCAGTTGTTGTGGTTGTCGTGTTTTCATCTCCTTTTGACTTACTGTTTTGGCCTTTATCTTTTCGGTTTGGGCAGTTCCTCTTTATGTGACCCTCCTGACCACAGTGAAAGCAAGTGAAGCTAGAGTTACCTTGACTTTTACTGCCTTTGGATTTACTCACGTTATTCCATCTGCCTTCACTCTTGCTTCTTTCTCTGCCTCTTCCTCTACCTCTGTCTTTGCCTCTATCTTCTGTGACAAAAGCATGGTGTTGATTACCTCCTATGTCTTTTCTTCTTGTCTTTTCATTGTACATGGCGTCTGTGACCATGCTATGGTCAGCTTCCCCTCTGGTGCAAAGGTGCTGAGAGAAACCACCGTCTCCCAGCTGTCCGATAAAGAACTGAGCAGTAATACGGCTTACATTTCATCGTCTAAGGGCATCTTGACGGTTGCAAGTTGATTCACCAGATTCTTGAATTCACTGGTATGCTTGGCGACAGACACACCATTCTTCAACTTCAGATTTACAAGCCTTCTCATCACCAAGCCTTTATTCCAAGCGGTCTTCAACTGGTACATTCCTTCTAATATTGTTCAGAGGACATATGCATATGTCTCCTGGGCGACATGGTAGAACACGTTATGGTTTATCCACTGTCTGATCTGACCGACAATCTTCTAGTTCATCTTTATCCAGTCTTCATCCTTCTCTACTTCCGGTTTAACCTTTTTTAGAGCTATAGGGTCAAACAAGTCTCTATAGTATAGGACGTCTTCCATCCGCGACTTCCAGATTCCATAATTGGAAGCATTTAATTTGATCATCGATCCCGAAGTTGAAATAGATTCTTCCATCTTCTTCTTACTTTTTACAGAAACTCTAATTCAAAAATCTGACCATACAAATCTTTCCAGAATACTCCAAATAGTTGGAAACCACTATTGGATCGTCAAAATCGGACTTCAAATGGCTCAGATCTAGCCAAAATATGTTGACGGTTCAGATCTGTGAATGTACTGCAGCTGCGTAGCACCAAATAAACCCTCTGCCTCTGGGTTGGGTCTAGTCAGGTAAACTCGACAAGTTGACTAGTCAACTAATGTGCTTATGTGGCAGACACGTGGCTCTGATTCGACGAATACATGGCGCTAACGTGTCAAACACATGGCGATGACGTAGCGATGACCTGGTGATGACACGTGTTGATGACATCACTATTACGCACAGAACACTCTCCTTCCTTTTGTCACGTGTCAGGCGCGTGCCTAAGACTAGGATGACGCACCGGTTTTGTCAACGGCGTGTGTTGCGTGTGTTTGCGACTAGGCTTCACTCGAGAGATTTAGGTGGTGCGTAAGAGCGCATGGAGTCTCGTTTGGGGCTTTACTTTGCAGTTTTGGACTCCTCTAATCGAGGGCTTCCTCCTGGTATGCTCAAAAGTGAATTTCAAGCAACTTGATTTCTCGGCAATTCTGAAAAACATACCCTGTTATTTCGAAAATCGACCAACAAGGCTCTGATACCACTTGTTAGGATTAGGGACACTCAGAAATCAATCACACACACAAAAAGGAGACACGAGATTTACGTAGTTCGGCAATAGCCCACGTCCACGGAGAGATATTTCTCACTATAAAATTATCCCGGAGGGAGATTACAACTCACACCTCACAACTCTTTATAGAATTCACTCTCTTACACACAGCTTTTTCACTCTGTGTTGCCTATCTCTTCTCTTCCTCTGTCTCTATATATATACACGGGGAGAGGGAAACAAAGTCAAGGAATGAGAGTTATTGGGCTGGCTGCAACCTGCCATCTTCCCTCCTACTTCTTGACTTGGAGAGCCACCCTTCAATAACAGCTCTATGTGGGCTGGAGCTAACATTTTAGTCCTGGTATTGTTTGTGGGCTTATGTACTCTTTCTTTTATCATTATATAATATGCTATATGACACTTCTCAAAAAAATAAAAAATACATGTCTATCATTTGCCAATCACTATAATCATGAAATTGTTGAATTGATTCCTCATAATTGCAGCAATTCAACTGTCCCAGAAAGCAATGCTCAGAAAAGTTTCCAGAAAACATAATTAATGGTTAAGATTAATTCATGTGTAAACCCCACTAAATAAACAGTAGATCTGAGCCACACATCACTTTTTCTGGTTCTGTTTATGGGTTCATAGACTTTCTATCATAATTGTCCTACCAACGACATGCCCCATGCACATCTCGTGCTAAGTTCAAAAGTAGTAAAGCGCCTGTTTAAAAAAAAAAAAAAATAGTAAAGCTACACAAAATCAACAAATTTCATAAAAATTTTCAGTCAATAACATGACACATCATATTTTCGTAGTGAGTTTTATGGACTAAGATCCTCTCCATTTAATAAATGACAGTTGGTATTTGGGATCTTTGTGCATTATACTCTATGCTCTTTTGTCGCTGTTAATCATCTTCATTTCTATCATAATTTGATATTGCTAATCACCTCTAGGTTTCTGGTCACCATACCCTTGCTTAGCAATATAGTCAACTAAGATTCTACTTTTTTGATAAAGTTATCTAATATTTTGGAAACATCATGTGATTATATATCTACTTCATAATTGGGGGTATGTGACCATTTTTTAGAAATATATAAACAAAATTACCGCATGACCACATGTCATTAAACCAGCACACAATCGAACTGAAATTTTTGACCCACCTAATATTTTTTGCTTTTGCAATCTTAATAACTACTCAAAACATTTTATGCTAATTAAATTCATTGCATATTTTGACTTTATGTTTTGATATTAAATTTCAGCAATTACAACTATGGACAAACTGGAGAGGCCTTAGGGTACTGACCCGGTCATTTCATTCAAGAAAGCCTTACGCTTTTGGATGACCTCACAATCACCAAAGCCTTCGTGAGCAGCTGACCAATCAGCAAGTCAGGTTCCCGGGTACGGCGTCATCACAAACATCATATATGGCAATCTCGAATGCAGTCATGGCACGGATTCAAGGGTTGAGAGTCGCATTGGGTTCTATCAAAGGTATTGTAGTGATGAAATATTTGGGGTTAGCACTGGCGACAACCTTGACTGCAACAACCAAAGGCCTTTCGGATTCGGACTCTTGCTTGACTCTATGTAATTGCAACATCCCTACAGTTGTTGCATCAGTGCAAAACTGCACAAGCCACTGTTGTACTAACTACAATAAATGCGCAACATTAATGACTCTTTTTAAGTTTTTCTGCTCTGGGTCTAAGTAGTTGCAATGAATTAATGAACTATTTACAATATTTGATCCAAATAATATAATAGGTAGATATAAGAGTACAATTTGTTCAAAAATTGTCCCTATCCTATCCTAACGTTCCATTCGTTTGACTGAAAACATATTCTGAAAAATATTTTTTACTTTTTGGTGTTCTGAAAAATTTAATAGAAATTCAAAACAAACTCATTTGGGAAAAACATTTTTTATTTTTAAAAATGAAAATGTTTTCCCAACTAAATCTTACTAATGTCGCCACTACACCGCCACCTCCACCACCAGCACCACCACACTACCAACACAACCACCTCCACCACTACTAATACAATCACTAGCTGGCATATTAGTTTTACGGTTGCAACCAAACATAAAAAAATGTGATCTACAAAGAACATTTTTTTAAGAAACATTTTTGTAAAGAAAGTTTTTTGCCAAATCAAAGGGAATCCAAGTAACACTACATTAAATTAAAGTTGATGACAGATATATTACTTAAAAGCTTATTCATGAATTACAACAAAATTGGCTACTACTAACGTCCATTGCACTACATTTCCTGCCATCAGATATGTCTCTGTGAGTTAGATACAACCTGTATGGGCTCTGTTCAAACCTCACCAATGGAAGAGCTGGAGGAGATGCCGCAAATGGATGTCTTTATATATGCATACCAATTGCACAGACTTTAAATTTCTTGTACCCAGCCTCGGCCATAGAATATGTCATGCCTATATCGCCTCAACAGCCCCTTCAAGCTTTGGTTTGCTCTTGGGTCGGCCACATCGTTTTACATCTTTACCTAAGAAATAATGCTATATATACCAATTAATATACACTCTAGTGTACTAATAGATGATGTGGCATCATTTGTATGATTTTAGGTATTTGTAACTTGTATAATAAATGTGGTCAATAATAATATCATAATACTAGTTAGTACACTAGTGTGTACACTAATTGGTATATGTAACATCACCGTTACCCAACAAAAGCTATAATGCTTTCTCAAAGGTTATATCATTCAGCTTCAAGTTCTGTGCAAAAGGTTTAAATAGACGAAAACCAAGTTAATAAAATAAGAATTCTCAAAGATGACAATGGAAAAAAGTGACAATCAAAACAAATAATATACGCTCTGAATGAAATAATTTGAATAGGGACCAGAGTAAATATTTTTTAAAAAGAATTTTCCTCTGCTCCACCCCATCTCAACAAGTAACTGAGATGTACACTGATCATTAGACTATTCATTAGACTTCTTCTGAGCTGTACTTGCCTCTTTGGATCTTTCAAGTTATAGTGTGCTTCGTTTCTATTTCCCCTTCTACTAGTAGACAATGGAGTTGGGATCAGAAAACTTCGACTCACAATCTCATGCAAACTTTCCAAGTCGCACTAAATCTTTGCATCATGGATGGGCAGTAAATTTAACATCGTTTACCAATTAGGGTGAATGTTATGAGTGTATTATTTTTTTTTTCACTTCTGGAGAGAGCCTGACCTCTCAACATAGGATTTTGGTACTAGATTTATGTTTTAGAGGGCAATACCAAGCTAGGAAGGATGGTGGGCGTCGTAGGACGAGATGGTGGGACCTAAAAGGGGATAAACTAGAAATATTTAAGAATAGAATGGATAAGGAAGGAACTTGGGACTTGGAAGATGATGCTAACGCTATGTGGAACTCGATGACCAATTGTATGAGGCGAATCTCAAGGGAAGTGCTTGAAGAGTCAAAAGAGACAGGACCCAGCGCTGGGAAAACTTGGTGGTGGAGGGAAGAGATTCAAGCGGTAGTTAAGGCAAAGAAAGAGTGCTTTAAAAAGTGACAGAATGATAGAACTGAGAAAAACCTTAAGAGCTATAGATTGGCTAATAAGGAGGTCAAAAAAGTAGTGAGAGAGGCTAAGTTAAAAGCTTATGATGACCTATACACTAAACTAGATAGTAAAGAAGGAGAGAAGAGAGTACACAAACTTGCTAAGATACGGGAGAGGAAAACAAGAGATTTTAATCAAGTTAAGTGCATCAAGAGTGAAGATTCTAAGGTATTGGTGAATGATGAAGAGATTAAGGAAAGATGGAAGAACTATTTCGAGAAACTATTAAGAACATGGAGGTACGGCAATAGGGGAAGAAATGGCTAGTAATACGATAAACCAAGACTATAGGTTTTATCGCAAGATTAGGAACTTTGAAGTGGAGATTACACTTAAGAAGATGAAATCAAATAAGGATTTAGGACCCGATGATATCCCTATTGAAGCTTGGAAATGCTTAGGTAAAAAAGGGGTTACTTGGTTGACTAGGTTGTTTAGCAAAATTTTATTGACTAGGAACATGCCAGATGAGTGGAGGAAGAGTATTTTAGTGCCAATATATAAGAATAAAGGAGATGTCTTGCAACAACTATAAAGGAATCAAGCTAATGTGCCATCTAATGAAAGTGTGGGAAAAGGTGATGGAACGCCGATTACGAGATATAACAGAGGTGTCAGAGAATCAATTTGAGTTTATGCCCAACAGGTCAACAATGGAAGCGATTTATTTTTTGAGGAGAGTAATAGAAAGTATAAAGAAAAGAAAAGAAACATTCATATGGTGTTTATCGATCTTGAGAAAGCATATGATAGAGTGCCCCGAGATGTAATACGGTGGGTGTTAGAGAAGAAATGGGTGACAAAAGGTTACATTGATGTGATTAGGGACATGTATGAAGGGATGGTGACCACTATTAAATCGCCTGCTGGAGAGACAAATGAATTTCTTATCACTGTTGGGTTACACAAAGGATCTACCTTAAGCCTTTATCTTTTTGCTTTAGTTATGGATGAGTTGACGAGAAACATTCAGGATGGCGTGCCATGGTGCATGCTTTTTGCAGACGATATCGTGCTAGTAGAAGAGACTAGAGAAGGAGTTAATACAAAGTTGGAAATTTGAAAAAAAGCTCTTGAATCTAAAGGTTTCCGGATAAGCAAAAATAAGACAGAGTACATAGTGTAAATTTAGTAACAGTAACAATGAAAGTAGAGGAGAAGTGAAGATTGAGAACCAAAATAAGAGTGAACATTTTCGTTATTTAGGGTCGATTATCACAACATCGGGGGAGATTGATGCGGATGTGGCCCATAGGATTAAGGCGGGATGGTGTAAGTGGAGAAGTGCGTCTAGGGTACTGTGCGATAAACGAATACCCACTAGACTAAAAGGTAAGTTCTATAGAATGGCTATTAGACCAATGATGTTGTATGGGACAGAGTGTTTGGGCAACCAAGAAACATGTAGATAAGATAAGTATGGCTGAGATGAGGATGCTAAAGTGGATGTATGGCAAAACTAGACAAGACAGAATTAAGAATGAGTGTATTCGGGAATGGGAAGAAGCAGCACCGATAGAAGATAAGTTGAGAGAGAATCGATTGAGATGGTTTGGTCACATTCAACAGAGACCAACAGAGGCAGTAGTGAAGAGATGCGATGTTGTAACGGTAGAGGAGAGTGTTAGGGGACGGATTAAGCCTATATTAACGTTGGCTAACGTTATAAATAGAGATATGGATCTACTTAATTTGACTAACGAAATGGCCTTTGATAGGGCCGCGTGGAGAAGAAGGATTCGTGTAGCCAACCCCATTTGATGGGACTTAAGGCTTTGTTTGGTTTGGTAAGGTTCAAACAGCAGTCTTTCAAAAGCAAGAAAAACATGTATGTATTGAACCAGCATAGGAAAACAAATACAAAAGCTAATCAAGAAATAATAACTCACCAACACAGCGAATCCACATCAAATTTGCTTGATATGTATTTTAAAGATCTTAATATCACAAGTTTGCACTTGAGTTTGGGAAAAGATTTTTCTTTTTTTTCCCAATTCTTGATCCAATTTTCCATCCACTTAATCCAAATTTTAAAACATTTATGATGGGAAGATTTACAAGACGAATTCACCAGTTGAGTTCAATGGAAAATAATTGTTTGCCAGTAATGATTTGCGTTCCTTGGACATCGCTAAATGTATATCACAAATCCAGTCCAAACAACACTCAATCTCTATGACTACACTCCTAAAGGTTTATTTAATTATAAGCTCACCAAATTCAATGCATCACTCGTAAAGGTTTATTTAATTATACGCCCACCAAATTCAATGTATCATACAGTGTGCAGCTGTTTGTCGTATATCAGCCCACCTACTCAATCCTATTACTGCACTCCTAAAGGTTCATTTAATTATAAACCCATTAAATTCAATGTATAATACAGTATGCAGATCGGCCAATCTACTCAATCCTTATGACTGCACTCCTAAAGGTTTATTCATATATTTATTATTTAAATTCATAGTCTATGTTTTTATTTTTTTTTGGGTAAATTGGAGGCTGTAGCCTAAGGGTAGTCTTGCCTGTGACAAGACTTAAAATCTTGACCTCCTAACGAGATGTAGGTGTTCCAGCCAACTGGATTATCCCAGTAGGTTATAATCTTTCTCTTCTTGTTAGTTTAAGAGGGCAGCCCTCTAGCAGAGCTGTAGTTCTACCGCTAAAGCATTTCCGAGGGTCCAATACTTTGGAAAAGTTGTACATTGCTTTTGCAAAAGCCAAAAATACTCCCAATAGTTGTATGTTTCTTTCTTCCTTTCTATTCTTATTTTTTTCATTTCCCTCCTTGTTTTGGAGAGGCTTTATATTTGCCCGTTTTGCCTTAAATTTGGTCTCTGAAATCAAGAACAAAATATGTCTATGGCTGGACCCTTGAGACTCAATCTACCCCCCTCACAAGGGGAAGACAGGAAAAGGAAAAAGGCAATCTCACAAATAAATACACGTGCAATTGGTTGGTACTTGGTAGTTAAAAGTAAAGCATATATGCATGGTTAATCATGTGTAATTTAATCAATATTTAGGACATAAAGACAACTCAGGCCTGTTGTTACGTGACAAGCATTTCATGCTGGAAATTCATTCTTTTGTTTCACCAAATTATTACTTAAGTTATGTTTTACAAACCTTCATATAATGCTTTAATAATTCTTTTCATCGCTGTCTGCACAACTTGTTCAATATTCAATGTCTTTGTAAGTGTCTTCTCCTTATTTTGGGACCTCAAAATGACAGTGACTGAGATATTTCACTCCATAAATAACACTTCCTATATATGTATTAACATAGTTCTCCATTAGGTGTTTCATATTTAATTTTTTAATAAGTATTAGGAGTTCATATTCAATTTTTTATAAGTATTAGGTGTTCATATTCATCTAAAATAATACCCCTACCCCCAAGTGCCACATTTAAGGGCAGATTTCAGCTTCTTGCCCATCCAACTCCTATACCTACTTCACAAACTGATAAAAATACTCCGAACTGTGTATGGCTGAGAATTGACCTATATACACCAGCTGTCTAGTTTTAAGAACCCATTTGTAAGGTTTTGCTATAGGAGGCTAATATGGTGGCCAATAGCTTATTAGTTAAACTTGCTGTGGATACTTCTCATACTCAAATGAGTACTACAATAGGAGATTCAAGCTGAATTTAGTGAAGAAAAAGAGTTGGAAAATACCATAACTATTTAATAAAGACATGCTTAACAAAGAAAGATATACCTCAGGTACAGGCGCGATTGTGCGTCGATGTCTAATGGAAAATCCAAACTTTGCAAGCTTCAATACAACTGGCTGGCCATCATCAGGATGGTTTCCCTAACATAGATACAGGAAAACTGAGTTTGACAATGATAAATAAAAAAAATTTAAAAAACGAGTATTTAGATGAAGACATACCAATGTCGCAGGATAGCGCAACAACTCAATAGCATCTTCCAGGGTAATATAGTCTACATGTTTTTATCTGAAATAACAAATGTTACTTGTCAAAAAAATTTCTGAAATAATAAATGTTTTCAATCATGTATGAATTAAATATTACAACAAATACAAGTCATTTTATTCATTTATTTTATTTTTTATTTTTTATTTTTTTAGTGGGGAGTGAAAGAAGCAGGCAATGTTCACAGATGCATGAACTGCCATATCGAAACAGTTCATAAAAAAGTTCTGAATTGAAGCTTGTGTATGATATCCTAAAAAAATAAAACGAACGCATGGATGAAAGTCGATCTCCCATCTGTAGATGCCTAGATGCACCAAGAGACCTCAGAGAGCATCCACATAATCCATATTTTTAAGATTCTTTTTCTTTCTTTTTTTTTTTTATTATTTATTAATCCATATTTTTATAATTAATCCACAACAGCCAGCATTTTTGAGCACCAAGTTATTGCATCATGGCCAAATGCAATTATCCTCCAGGTACTCCCCTTGGAGGAAAGAATAATTTTCTCCATAATAATAAAAACAGAAACATACTGATGAAAAATATATTAGTACATATCAACTTTGGTGCTTAAAAACCTTAGTGGAAGCTTCACATGCTTTAGTAAAGTATTTTAAAAGGGGGCCATCAAACGAACTAGTAAATTTTTTTAACATTCTATAGTTATATGACTGTAAATATGTCATACATTAGTTATATTCTTTTACCTATAAAAAATATCATGCAGGACTTTTCATACTTGCGGATAGCATCTTTTTTGCCCTAGGCACATGATAAAACTTTTTAAAAAGTAGAGGAAGCTAGCTATTCTAATACCGAAATCAAATTGTGACACAAATAAAAACTGGATGAAATGTGACTTTTAACTTTGACAAAATCAGATTGGCGCAAAACTAGATATTCTAATACCAAAATGTTTCAGAAGTAGGACCAAGACAAGGAAAAGAAGAAGATTATTCACCCAAAAAAAGGAAAAGAAGAAAGGGATGAAGTATAAAACGAAGATTGATGACCAAATGATCCGAAACAACCAATTCCAAAACCTTCCAGCTATATGACTATATGATGGAGAGATAACCACAGACACTGGAATGGAGTTTCAGCTCAGTGGTTGAAGCACAGTTTGCTCTAGAATAATGTGACAAACATTGGCAAGAATAGAGGGGCAGCTGCCTGAAGCGGAGAAGATTTTCAGGAATAACAAATGAGTCATTATTCAGTCAGTGAGGATTATGCTGGAACAGGAGAACCTTCCAAAAAAAATCAAGAGGTCTAAAAGGACTGAATGGAAGTAGTGAGAAAAACGACCTGCAAGGTCAAGAATAAGGGAAAATATTGCTTTAAAGATTAATGGAATTTATAAAATTAACTAGAAAAGTAGTAGCGATATTCTGGGAGGATGATGTGACCACTGTCAATTCTATCGGGAGCTGATAAACTGCACTTTTTGTATCCCACTTTTAATTATTCAATACTGATGAAACACGAGGCGCAGAGGCTAATGAGGAGCAGAGGCTATATAGCAACAAACAAAAATTATTCATTAACGATAATAAATATGACACGCTATTGGATTCAGATAATAATAAGAACAACGACGACTACTGCATCTGCATCTACAATACTAACAACAAAAAGAAAAGAAAAACACTCTGGAAATTGGTATCAACAGAAGAAACAAGATATTCATGTGGCCAGTGGCGGAGCCATCATTGGCCCAGAGGGGGCAGTGCCTCCCTCAACTCTTTTAAAGTTACAAGTTGACCTGTACTTATAAAGTTCTTCAAATTGGCCCCTTTGAAATTTTATATATGCCCCTTAATCTTTATAATCCATCTTTTTTTCTATCGTGCAGTTTACAACACAAATATGCAAAATAAAAGACATATTCCACAAGGTGTATTCTTCTTCCAAGAGAACAAGTGTCAGCACATGAATGCTTGCATAAAGAGAGAAAAGCATGCAAGACCAGTCTAGAATCTCTAGATATGTTTATGTTCAGTCTTAGGTTTATAGATTTTATGATAACATTATGCATAAATTTATGTTTAGATTTATTGATTTCAGTCTGTATATGTATGGACTTCTTGAAATTTAAAGGCCTGATTCGAATAACCAAATTAAACCAAACAGGCATGACCCAACCCTTTGTATCTGATCCGCAGATTATCCCTTGATGTTAATTGCTTTGAAGGGGAAAAAAAGAAAGAAAATTAACATCACAAGACTTCCTTAATGATCAGTAGTGGCTAAGTATTCATCCCTAATTTACTTGAAAAGAAAACGACGCATAGATGCTTAACTTAAGCATTTACATATATGCAGATAATGGCAGTAGGCCAGGAATTAAAGCTCCAAAAATTTAGTAGTCCCATTACAAATACAAATGAGGCTGTACATACTTGGGAAACCGAGGGTCTTTTAGGCAAGTATCCCTTCCTGTCCTCACCAAGCTGAACATAGAATCCATAAGGACCATTCTTCAAGAGAATCTAAAAAATAAAAATAATTCCAATACATACATTAAACGCAGTAATAAGCTTCTGAAGATGATAAAGATTCATTTTTCACATAATTGACGTTAAATCAAAACAAGGAAAACCTTCTCATTTGATCCAGGGTAAAGACCTAAAAATTTTGGCTCCTCCACTGTGCCGCTATTCTGAGGAGTAACCTCTTCATCATCATCACCATACAATGTCTTAGCAATGTACCTGCAAACAACCCATCCATGAAAGCTATTTATAGTGACCAAATAACAAAATATTATTTATCAATAAAGATTGTTTGCGATCAAAACTTGAAAAGCTTAAAAATTATAAATGAATAATTACTACTAATTATTTCCTACAATCAGGAATACAAGAAAATGGGTTTAAAAAAAAAAATTGAGAAAATACTAATTTAGTGGCTTAAATATGAGATAAATGACTATATCTCATTAAACCTTTAAACACTAGATTGGACAATGTTCCATAACAAAATTGAGAAAGAAGCAAACCCTAATCAAGCAAGTGTCAAAGAAGCTCATCAATGGAGATCGAAATAAAGCATGAATTTAGGCACTAGAGTCAAGGATGTAGAGATATCAGGCAATTGGTGATGAAGTCCTCTGTCAAAACCCATTCCAAATTGTGCACTTTGTAAATTTTGGGTTTTGGATAGTTCTAGTGGTTAGGTTTTAGGTCAACTAGGGTGTTGGGTTGAGTAGGAATGATTTGAGGGTAGCAAAGGTAGGTAGGGAAATTGCGGATATTGGTAGGGGAGTGACGGACGTAGTAGGTTGTTTGCAAAAGACTGAAAAAAACAAGGCTACTTTTGTTATTTTATACAAATATGACTTTATTTTTTTAGGTGTTTTGAGTCTTCCCACTCCTAAAGGTTTATTTAATTATACGCCCACCAAATTCAATGTATCATACAGTGTGCAGCTGTTTGTCGTATATCAGCCCACCTACTCAATCCTATTACTGCACTCCTAAAGGTTCATCTAATTATAAACCCACTAAATTCAATGTATAATACAGTATGCAGATCTGCCAATCTACTCAACCCTTATGATTGCACTCCTAAAGGTTTAGCCATATATTTATTATTTAAATTAATAGTCTATATTTTTCTTTTTTTTGGGTACATTGGAGGTTGTAGCCTAAGGGGAGTCTTGCCTGTGACAAGACTTAAAATCTTGACCTCCTAATGAGATGTAGGTGTTCCAGCCAACTGGATTATTCCAGTAGGTCATAACTTTCTCTTCTTGTTAGTTTAAGAGGGCAGCCCTCTAGCAGAGCTGTAGTTCTGCCACTAAAGCATTTCCGAGGGTCCAATACTTTGGAAAAGTTGTACATTGCTTTTGCAAAAGCCAAAAATACTCCCAATAGTTGTATGTTTCTTTCTTCCTTTCTATTCTTATTTTTTTCATTTCCCTCCTTGTTTTGGAGAGGCTTTATATTTGCCCGTTTTGCCTTAAATTTGGTCTCTGAAATCAAGAACAAAATATGTCTATGGCTGGACCCTTGAGACTCAATCTACCCACCTCACAAGGGGAAGACAGGAAAAGGAAAAAGGCAATCTCACAAATAAATACACGTGCAATTGGTTGGTACTTGGTAGTTAAAAGTATAGCACATATGCATGGTTAATCATGTGTAATTTAATCAATATTTAGGACATAAAGACAACTCAGGCCTGTTGCTACGTGACAAGCATTTCATGCTGGAAATTCATTCTTTTGTTTTGCCAAATTATTACTTAAGTTATGTTTTACAAACTTTCATATAACACTTTTAGTAATTCTTTTCATCACTTGTTCAGTGTTCAATGTCTTTGTCAGCGTCTTCTCCTTATTTTGGGACCTCAAAATGACAGTGACTGCAGACATTTCACTCCATAAATAACACTTCCTATATATGTATTAACATAGTTCTCCATTAGGTGTTTCATATTTAATTTTTTAATAAGTATTAGGTGTTCATATTCAATTTTTATAAGTATTAGGTGTTCATGTTCATCTAAAATAATACCCCTACCCCCAAGTGCCACATTTAAGGGCAGATTTCAGCTTCTTGCCCATCCAACTCCTATACCTACTTCACAAACTGATAAAAATACTCCGAACTGTGTATGGCTGAGAATTGACCTATATACACCAGCTGTCTAGTTTTAAGAACCCAATTGTAAGGTTTTGCTATAGGAGGCTAATATGGTGGCCAATAGCTTATTAGTTAAACTTGCTGTGGATACTTCTTATACTAAAATGAGTATTAAAATAGGAGATTCAAGCTGAATTTAGTGAAGAAAAAGAGTTAGAAAATACCATAGCTATTTAATAAAGGCATGCTTAACAAAGAAAGATATACCTTGGGCACAGGCGCGATTGTGCGTCGATGTCTAATGGAAAATCCAAACTTTGCAACCTTCAATACAACTGGCTGGCCATCATCAGGATGGTTTCCCCAACATAGATGCAGGAAAAATGAGTTTGACAATGATAAATAATTTTTTTTAAAAAAAACCCTCTATTTAGATGAAGACATACCAATGTCGCAGGATAGCGCAGCAACTCAATAGCATCTTCCAGGGTAATATAGTCTACATGTTTTTATCTGAAATAACAAATGTTACTTGTCAAAAAAATTTCTGAAATAATAAATGTTTTCAATCATGTATGAATTAAATATTACAACAAATACAAGTCATTTTATTCATTTATTTTGTTTTTTATTTTTTATTTTTTTAGTGGGGGGTGAAAGAAGCAGGCAATGTTTACAGATGCATGAACTGCCATATCGAAACAGTTCATAAAAAAGTTCTGAATTGAAGCTTGTGTATGATATCCTAAAAAAATAAAACGAAGGCATGGATGAAAGTCGATCTCCCATCTGTAGATGCCTAGATGCACCAAGAGACCTCAGAGAGCATCCACATAATCCATCTTTTTAAGATTCTTTTTCTTTCTTTTTTTTATTATTATTATTTATAAATCCATATTTTTATAATTAATCCACAACAGCCAGCATTTTTGAGCACCAAGTTATCGCATCATGGCCAAATGCAATTATCCTCCAGGTACTCCCCTTGGAGGAAAGAATAATTTTCTCCATAATAATAAAAACAGAAACATACTGATGAAAAATATATTAGTACATATCAACTTTGGTGCTTAAAAACCTTAGTGGAAGCTTCACATGCTTTAGTAAAGTATTTTAAAAGGGGGCATCAAACGAACTAGTAAATTTTTTTAACATTCTATAGTTATATGATTGTAAATATGTCATACATTAGTTATATTCTTTTACCTATAAAAAATATCATGCAGGACTTTTCATACTTGGGGATAGCATCTTTTTTGCCCTAGGCACATGATAAAACTTTTTAAAAAGTAGAGGAAGCTAGCTATTCTAATACCGAAATCAAATTGTGATACAAATAAAAACTGGATGAAATGTGACTTTTAACTTCAACAAAATCAGATTGGCGCAAAACTAGATATTCTAATACCAAAATGTTTCAGAAGTAGGACCAAGACAAGGAAAAGAAGAAGATTATTCACCCAAAAAAAGGAAAAGAAGAAAGGGATGAAGTATAAAAGGAAGATTGATGACCAAATGATCCGAAACAACCAAATCCAAAACCTTCCAGCTATATGACAATATGATGGAGAGATAACCACAGACACTGGAATGGAGTTTCAGCTCAGTGGTTGAAGCACAGTTTGCTCTAGAATAATGTGACAAACATTGGCAAGAATAGAGGGGCAGCTGCCTGAAGCAGAGAAGATTTTCAGGAATAACAAATGAGTCATTATTCAGTCAGTGAGGATTATGCTGGAACAGGAGAACCTTCCAAAAAAAATCAAGAAGTCTAAAAGGACTGAATGGAAGTAGTGAGAAAAACGACCTGCAAGGTCAAGAATAAGGGAAAATATTGCTTTAAAGATTAATGGAATTTATAAAATTAACTAGAAAAGTAGTAGCGATATTCTGGGAGGATGATGTGACCACTGTCAATTCTATCGGGAGCTGATAAACTGCACTTTTTGTATCCCACTTTTAATTATTCAATACTGATGAAACACAAGAAGCAGAGGCTATATAGCAACAAACAAAAATTATTCATTAACGACAATAAATATGACACACTATTGGATTCAGATAATAATAAGAACAACGACGACTACTGCATCTGCATCTACAATACTTACAACAAAAAGAAAAGAAAAACACTCTGGAAATTGGTATCAACAGAAGAAGCAAGATATTCATGTGGCCAGTGACGGAGCCATCATTGGCCCAGAGGGGGCAGTGCCTCCCTCAACTCTTTTAAAGTTACAAGTTAACCTGTACTTATAAAGTTCTTCAAATTGGCCCCTTTGAAATTTTATACATGCCCCTTAATCTTTTATAATCCATCTTTTTTTCTATCATGCAGTTCACAACACAAATATGCAAAATAAAAGACATATTCCACAAGGTGTATTCTTCTTCCAAGAGAACAAGTGTCAGCACATGAATGCTTGCATAAAGAGAGAAAAGCATGCAAGACCAGTCTAGAATCTCTAGATATGTTTATGTTCAGTCTTAGGTTTATAGATTTTATGATAACATTATGCATAAATTTATGTTTAGATTTATTGATTTCAGTCTGTATATGTATGGATTTTTTGAAATTTGAAGGCCTGATTTGAATAACCAAATTAAACCAAACAGGCATGACCCAACCCTTTGTATCTGATCCACAGATTATCCCTTGATGTTAATTGTTTTGAAAGGGGAAAAAAAAGGAAGAAAATTAACATCACAAGACTTCCTTAATGACCAGTAGTGGCTAAGTATTCATCCCTAATTTACTCGAAAACAAAACGAAGCATAGATGCTTAACTTAAGCATTTACATATATGCAGATAATGGCAGTAGGCCAGGAATTAAAGCTCCAAAAATTTAGTAGTCCCATTACAAATACAAATGAGGCTGTACATACTTGGGAAACCGAGGCTCTTTTAGGCAAGTATCCCTTCCTGTCCTCACCAAGCTGAACATAGAACCCATAAGGACCATTCTTCAAGAGAATCTAAAAAATAAAAATAATTCCAATACATACATTAAAAGCAGTAATAAGCTTCTGAAGATGATAAAGATTCATTTTTCACATAATTGATGTTAAATCAAAACAAGGAAAACCTTCTCATTTGATCCAGGGTAAAGACCTAAACATTTTGGCTCCTCCACTGTGCCGCTATTTTGAGGAGTAACCTCTTCATCATCATCACCATACAATGTCTTAGCAATGTACCTGCAAACAACCCATCCATGAAAGCTATTTATAGTGACCAAATAACAAAATATTATTTATCAATAAAGATTGTTTGCGATCAAAACTTGAAAAGCTTAAAAATTATAAATGAATAATTACTACTAATTATTTCCTACAATCAGGAATACAAGAAAATGGGTTTAAAAAAAAAAATTGAGAAAATACTAATTTAGTGGCTTAAATATGAGATAAATGACTATATCTCATTAAACCTTTAAACACTAGATTGGACAATGTTCCATAACAAAATTGAGAAAGAAGCAAACCCTAATCAAGCAAGTGTCAAAGAAGCTCATCAATGGAGATCGCATAAAGCATGAATTTAGGCACTAGAGTCAAGGATGTAGAGATAACAGGCAATTGGTGATGAAGTCCTCTGTCAAAACCCATTCCAAATTGTGCACTTTGTAAATTTTGGGTTTTGGATAGTTCTAGTGGTTAGGTTTTAGGTCAACTAGGGTGTTGGGTTGAGTAGGAATGATTTGAGGGTAGCAAAGCTAGGTAGGGAAATTGCGGATATTGGTAGGGGAGTGACGGAGGTAAGTAGAGATGATCGAGATAGGTGGAGAGGAGTGGAGGAGTGCTGGAGTGAGGCAGATAGGGAAGTTGTAGAGGTGGCGAGGGAGGGTGAAGGAATGTGCGGCTGCAGGTTGTTTGCAAAAGAGATTGAAAAAAAAAGGCTACTTTTGTTATTCTATAAAAATATGTCGTGATTTTTTTAGGTCTTTTGAGTCTTCCATAGTTGTTATTTTTAAAAAGTTGGCACTATTTTGTAACATTAGTTCCAAGAACCCAATCAAACATAGGGAGATATTTTTTCTAAAAATGTTTTTTATAGAAAATGTTTTTCATTGAAAAATGTTTTTTGTTTAAACAAACGGAGCGCAAGTTACAGTAAAAATGCAAGTACAGAGGCCCATATTTGTTGCATTTTACTAGGATAAATGAACCAATAAGGAAATGAACAATATATAAAAGGTAACATGATTTATAGGAAATTGCTAAAAAAATGTGAAACTATCATTGCAATTGTAGGAATTTGTATTCAATTCACTACACCATAACAATATCAAAATGATTCTGATGACTCATCTACAAATGGAGCTTCTGCAGAAGAGAAGAAGCATTTAAGAGCGTGGTAAGAGAGAGAAGGCTAAAGTCTGATGATACCAAAACAAATAACTCCAATTGTTTGAGAGAGTTGAATCTAGTTATCCTTGCAGGTATTGGGAGAACCTGAAGAGAAAAGAAGAAAAAAGTTTTATATAGAAAATATCCCATTTTCATACACAAAATGAAAAAGTACACAATAAAGAGTAATAATTCTTTCATTTTTCCTCACCTCCTCTGTTGTCAAAACTAGTGATAGGTTTGAAGCTGAGGAAGATCATTTGCAATTCCATTGAACATCTATTGTGTGCCCCTCTCATATACAACCATGAACCTGATATGCACTTTTTCCAGCCGAGGAACGTCAAGAAAAGAGAAGTTTTTCACTTTACCAATATATTCAAATGTGGTAAGACCAATAGAAGAAATCTCAAACTTCTCTACTCCATAGCATTCATGCACAATCAAAATCTTCAAATGGAGGGATGGACCATGAATGCATAAAGTTTCAGGTAGAAGACTGTTCTTTAGCCTCAACCATTCAAGGTTTAAACAACTAAAAACGAAACTGTTAGCGCAACTTTGATTTAGAGGCACATGTTTTAAATCAAGGGATTTTAGGGAGATTAGGGGTTGGCCTTAGGTTGCATGATTTTAGGCACAAATACTTTAATTGAGATAAATCACCTTGAGGTTGAGGAAGAAGCTGACAGGGAAAATCATATAAGTTATTACTTTGACTTTCAGGACTAGCAGAAAAGTCAAGATCAAGCTTTTCAGTTTTCATTATACTTGCAAATCTAATCCACCTATCAACATTACCAGTATACTCGTTACCAAGACAAAAACAGATCCTGAGAGAGTCTAGCTTTTGACCATTGTATAGTTCCAAAAATTGATCAACTCCAGTTACAAACTTACTCTTTGAGTACCTTGCTTTGTGATTGATTCCGAGCACGGTATGAAGATCAAAATCAAGATTCAAAATGAATGGACAGATATATCTCTATCTTCTAGACACTATCCTTGCCTTGAGAGAATCTCTAATACTCAAAAATGAGAGAATGAAAGAGAGAATGTCATCTGGCATTTCAGAAAGACGATCAATGGGTTTGAGGTCATTGCCCTAACATATTTCAACCAACGAACATGTATATCAGCAAATAATAAATTACTTTAATGGGCACAAGTATTTTCTACAGGGCTTTTACTCTCTCACACTCTCATCCATCTCAGATCAGATCGGTGAGGTGCTTGTCTCTCTCGGTGAGCTCTCTCTCTCTGTCTCTCTCTCTTGGTGACACTGTTTTTCTGTTTCTGCAATGGGTGCGGGTGTGTAAGAGTCTTTTATTATTATTTTTTTCTATTTTTTTGGTAGTGTATTTTTTCACTACATGATCACGTTGAACGCAATTGTGAAAACCGCGCGCACTTCTCCGTCTCTTCCCTGCACATGGGATGAAACTGAAAATAGAATCTAGAAAAAGGTTTGTAATTTCAATGGATGGGTCATCAACGCTTATTAGGTGGACAAGAAATTAAGAAAATAATTACAATATATCTGTTATTACTATTGAAGATACACTTCGTGATGGTAGAACGAGTCAGACTGATTCACGCTCCTTAAGTCTATGTCTGAATGATCAAGTGTTGTTCAAAATTATGAAATTAAATAAATAAATTTATGAAGAAAACAAATTATATACCAAGAATATATGCTGATAATTACAATTAAATTTCAACAGAAATACACAAAACAATAAAGCGAACAAAACAATGGCAGCACTCTCTCACAATAGGAACTATCAAGCAAACTGACTTGTAAAATGGAAGCAAAAATTTCTATATTGAAACTTAACAAGAAGGTCTCAATTTATACATATATAGGGGAGAGAGAAAAAGCCTCCAGCCTTTAAGGCTAGTCATTAAAACACCAAGCATCCATAGCCCCTTTCCACAAAATAAAAAGTATGGATGCCCAAAGAATTCACACCCTTTAGCCAAGAAAAAAGATTTAAATACTCTTAAAAATCCTATTCATGAATCTAACATTATGAAGCAATTTCTTGGCAATTTCTTATTCAAAACCCAATGGTTTTTAGCTCACTTGGACCCAACACAAAAAATGGTTAGGACCTGAAACTTGACAGGAGGGTCTCAATTTATACATGTATAGGGGAGAGAGGAAAAGCCTCCAGCCTTTAAGGCTAGTCATTAAAACACCAAGCATCCATAACCCCTTTCCACAAAATGAAAAATATGGATGCCCAAAAGATTCACACCCTATAGCCAAGAAAAAAGATTTAAATACTCTTTAAAATCCTATTCATGAATCTAATATTATGAAGCAATTTCTTGACAATTTCTTATTCAAAACCCAATGGTTTTTGGCTCACTTGGACACGACACAAAAAATGGTTAGGACCCACTTTAATATTTAATTAAAGTCACCACACTTTAATATTAAATTAAAGTCCCCAAAAATCATTTTTTCCAACAATCCCCCACATGAATAAAAATTGACCGAATGACTCAACAAACGGACATCGTTCAACAATAAAGACTCTGAGAGAGAGTACAACGGACTAACCCCGACATCAGAGAAGGTAGCTTTTGGCTTTGAACCTCTCCCAGTGAAAACCTATCGAGTTTACTGGCAGATCAGTGAATAAGACATCTTGAACTGCTCTACCGTTTATGTAAACTGAGACAATAGATCTCACACGGGAATTACGCCTACCACCATTATGTTCTCACTGGTGTGCCCTGTGTGGCCCTGGACACTAGCCTGGTTCAGCAAATGGTTTCAAAGAATCTTGGCCTGCCCAATTCTTCTAGAAGCGGCCCCACTTCAAACTCACATAGGTGACTCTACTAAAGTATCCTGCAATACTTAGCTCAACAGCTTAACACATAAGAGTCATTAAAAGCTCAGCTTATCCTCTACACTAGCAGGTATCACTAATAGAAGGAATGGCTGGAGGTTTAACCTCCTCAGTGACATACCACCGTTACACACAATTAGGTTGTCCCATTGAACCTAGATCTTGGAA